CGTTCAATCTGAAACTGTAATCACCCTCTCATTCACGCCTGCATCTAAAACATTAAAACCATGCAGACCTCTTCTTCTATCTATGCCTTGCTGCATATTTCAAAACTTTACTCTCTTCCTTACCTGGCCATCCATCCAAAACTGCAAACCAACTTTGTGATCAACCCTTTACCTACTTTCTTCCACACCTCCCTCAACCCAACTACATCCATCCGAACCCTAAGATTGTTTCCAGTCCATCCCAATCCTATCTCCTGTAAATCATAAATCTCAATTCTAACCTAGCCCATGAAAACCCTAGACCTACTTGTCCAGCAGCATGAAGACTCAAGTATATTGATTATGCTAATGATTTAAACAATATGTTGGATTTAATTTGTCTTTTATATCTTTTTCAACATTTGCTGGTTATTGTTGTAAAGAACTTCAGAAGAAAAGGGCTGAAAAATCTAATAAAGTAGTAACCACTGGGATTTTGTTTTTTTTTGTGAGATGTTAAATGGGCCAGAATGGAATCTTTGGAAGCGAAGGAGATTCTAATTGTGAAAAATGTCTTTTCAGAACAGAGTACAAAGTTGAAGTTGTCAAGGGGAAGAGAAAGATGTTGAGGAAGTGCTTTTACAATAAAGATGGCAGGATTGTCTTAGGATTGACAGTTGAAGTAGGATTTGTGTAGTTATGATGGAAGCAAAGAAATTTTTTTGGGAATGAAAGCACTATTGATTGTAAGGATGGGAGAGGAATGATATGACGAGGAATAGGCTATTATGTTCACTTGGGAACTAGACATGTCTAAGAATGGAAGATACCTTTTGAAGATGGAGATAATAGGAGGATGAAGAGAAAGAAGCAGCTTTCCTATGTCTGTGGGGACATTTTTTCAAAGAGAAACAAGCATCTTGCCTCTGCCTTTATCAGTTTTTACCCTCTCTCTTTAGCAATTCCATTCAATCCAAAAACCCCACTTTATGGTCTCGCTCTCTCTCTTTCTCTCTCTCTCACACACACACACACATGTTCACTCCAATCCAATATCTACATCTCTCTCCATGTGTGATTATCTCTGTTCTGGTTGTTCAGTGGAGGAGGTCATATAAAAATCTTTTGTGAAGTATCCAAACAAGAACTTTATGTTAATAAAATATCATATTAATATTCCTCTGAGCAGCCAAACAATTTATCGACACATTAAGATAAACTGGCATTTTCAATTCAGCATGAAAAGACCTGTAAGTTTTGTATTTTTTATGGGGAAAGTATCTTATTTGCTCCAAAAATTGGAATCAATTTCATAGAATCACCTCAATTCTGTTAGATATATACAAGGCATTGATTTTTTTTTTGTTATCCATCATGAGATCCAAAGTGTAATAAATTGTGAATTCATTGAATCATCACAATAAGAAACAGGTGACATTATGTAGATTGTATCTTGTTCCTCTTTCACTTACCCAAAAAAAAAATCCTCTTCCTCTTTCAATTTTGGGAAGAAAGACCCCATACTCACCACTCTTATACACGCAACATTAGCACCCAAAATCGAGGGCTGACCCTCTGCAGCAATTCTAGATGATGACAGATACTGCTTGTTTTGTCATTCTTCTCTGTCTTATGTCGTACATCAATCCCTGATGAGAAAGACCAATTAGGTCTTCTCTCAAAAGGGCCAGCCAAACGCCGAATCCGATCGAAAGGAGAAATTCTCTCTCCTCTATTTCCTATGCAATTCTCGTGATTGTAGGAGCAATTCAATCGCCAGAAGAAGCCAGACTCAAACCCCACAGTGCACAATCCAGAACACTCCTTGGAGTCTCAACTGTGGTGGTTTAGAGAGAGAGAGAAAGAGAGTGAGAGAGAGAGACGGGGGGCAGCGAAAAGGGGGGTGGGGGTGTGGGGGAACGGATTAGGGCGTGAGAACAAGAGCTAGGACAGGATTTATGGAGAAGCGTTTGGGACGTGAAAGGGGGTATAGGAAGAGAAAGGGTTGAAATGTGATAAGGCGTTTTGTTTAGGGCAGTTATAGGGGTTAAAAAAAAATGTGGGAAGGTACGAGGCTGGAAAAGGTGGGAAGTGAGAAGACAGAATTTGAAAAAAGAAAAAATGAAGCCAGATATTTAGAAGAATTGAGGGGATACTATGAAATTGATGCCAATTTTAGGGGTTAGTAAGATATTTTCCCCTTTTTCTTATTAATGAGAAGAGTTTTAAATCGTCATCCAGAATAGGCCTAAGGGAGCATGCTTGACAATTTCTCTCTCCTCCATTGGATTTTGAAGGTTTAAGGTAATGCATGGCATGAGATGATTGACATCATGGGAGACAAATATGAGTTTGATAGACAAAAATGAGCCGAACTGGAGATTTTCTCTGAAGGAAGATGACATATTTGAGGGGCTCCTAAAGCACTAGGTTATGGGCATATGAAAGGAGTGGAGAGACAATGATCTTGT